CATCATCATCGTCATCGTCATCGTCATCGTCATCGTCATCGTCATCGTCATCGTCATCGTCATCTTTAGTTTGTTATGGGTCCTCAGACTTACCGCGACCCTAATAGAGTTTTCATGGTGAGATACCGTATTTTTCGCTCCATAAGACGCACCTTTCCATAAGATGCACCAATTTTTTAGGGGAAGAAAACAGGAAAATATAATCTGTTTTCTTTGCTCCATAAGACGCACAAACTTTCCACCCCCGTTTTGTGGGGGGAAAGTGCATCTTATAGTGCGAAAAATACGGTATTTAAGGAGTGGTTTTACCCGTTCCACGCTCCCCAGTGAGTTTACGTGGTTGAGCAGAGATTCGAACCCAGGTCTCCTGAGTCCTAATCCGTACCTCTATCCACCACGGGGAATATTCCATTAAATCACTCCCAATTTCTGGGAAGCCTTTCCAGGGTTTTCTCAGCACAGAGTACTTAGATGGGGTGAGTCTTTAAAGGGGACTCCACATTATGGTGGTGGTGGTGGTTTAGCTGCAATAGATTTAATGCAACTACGTGTTATGATTAATCCCAGTATTTCTCTCTGCTTCAGGCTTTTTGCTTCAGCCTTTGCTGGGTGCTTGGAGCGACAGGTGTACTTCACCTTTCGGGAGGAGACGGCCATTTATATTAGTTCTGGCCATTGGTAAATACCATCTTTGACCTTCTCTCTGCAGGGAAATATTGAGTGCTTATAACAGATGGGTTTAAATGTTTGCATAGCGCCACATTCTATGTGGCATAATAGACTGAATTTTTCAGGATTGGTTCTATTCTATTACCTCCCCTCCACAAAAAAACCAATGGAAAGTAGCAAGCAACACAGTAAGTAAAATACTGAGTTACAGCTTTGACGATATAACAAATCAGATAGGTGTGAGCGTTCTGTTGAAGAGTTTTCAACTCCTGGTAAATTCCCTTTCTGCTATCCAGCAGAAATACAGAGACCCTCTGAGGAGAACAGCGACACGTTCCCGAGAGTCCACCCCTTCCTCATTAACCAGCCTTTAAAGTCTCACTAACTCATTCGTGGAACATTTTTAGGAGAAAGAATATAAAACATTTCTGGACTTCCAGTCGCTTGAAATTACAGACTTGTGTATGCTGCTTCTTTCATTGTACACATGCTTAGCAACCAACCAAACAGATCAACAGCACACAAACAACTGCCATCAACAAATGAAAGAGAGGGAAAGACACTCAGCAGAGCGGGCTTTCTCTGAATTCAAAGGCTGGAATGACTGAATGATGGTTTAGTCTATAAATAGATGGATTGCCTGTAAATCTTAGCAACCAACCGAACAGATCAACAGCACACAAACAACTGCCGCCAACAAATGAAAGAGAGGGAAGGACAATCAGCAGAGCAGGCTTTCTCTGAATTCAAAGACTGGAATGAATGAATGATGGTTTGGTCTATAAATAGATGGATTGCCTGTAAACAGGCAATCACCCTAGTCCAGAAAAGTCCCTCCCACTCACTCAAATCTACAGAAAGCATGCGAGGTTGCAAATTAAATTCCAACATGTTCTCCTCGATTTCCTGGCCACAGGGGCATTGGCAGGGCTCTCCCTGATGCTGAACGGCAGGGACATCGGTCTCTCCTTGACGGACACTGCGAACAACCACAAGTGGGGGATAGTGCTCACCATTTGTGGCGTCATCCTGATGGACTTCTGCGCAGATTCGGCAGACAATCCTAGCCACGCCTACATGATGGACATGTGTAGCCCATCAGATCAAGACAGGGGACTAAATATTCATGCCCTCTTAGCAGGTGAGTTTTGACCAGCCCCACCATGACCAACAGCAACATTTTGTATTCACATAGAGCAGGGGATCCATGGGATCAGGATCCATTGATTCACTTATTCAGGCTTGAAGCTATTAAAAATATTATAAGGAAAATCCTAGAGTTTTTTCCCCCTAAAGGTGAAGTTACCAGAACTGGCCACTAGAGGGAGCCAGAGACCATGCTATGGGTCGTATTCGCTATTAAAACAGCGTTTGCTACCATACCATATTTTTCCATGTATAAGACGCCCCCATGTATAAGACGCCCCCCACTTTTCTAATTCAAAATTAAGAAATCTAAGTGGGGCTTAGCAAGTGTAGGGGAGAAAGGGATCAAAGCGCTTTGATCCCTGCTTTCCCCTCCACTTGTTTTTGTTCTCTCCTCAGCTTACTTCTGTGTATAAGACGACCCTCAATTTTTAGTCTTATACATGGAAAAATGTTTTTTTTCGTATAGTCTTATACATGGAAAAAATGTGGTTTTTTTTCCAGCATCCGCAGGGGTGGGCTTTGAGCCAATCCTCTGTAGATACGGAGATCCTACTGTCCTGGTTTCAGCACGAGGTAGAAAACTTACATTCTTAGGCTCATCTTCCCAGGTTTCGTCAGTAACCAGGATGGCTGAGGGAATCTGGGAGATCTTTCCCCAAACTTTACTCTTCCCGAAACCAGATTTTAAAATTTAGCATATTCTGGGCGCTTCATATACATTGCATTGCTGCAATATGAAAAGGAAGGTGTATTAACTAAATTAGTATTATGAGAGAAGGACACATATGCACCTCTAGAGTCCTAAATTTATTATTATTTCAAAATCCATAGACAGATATACTGCATAAATAATAATCACATGCCATCAAGTCTGTTCTGACTGATGAGCCTTTTCGGGGCTTTTTCCAGGTAGAGAAGATACAGAAGTGGTTTACCCTTCTCTTCCTCTAGGGGGCGCTCTGGGGCTCTGCAGCTTGCCCAAGGCCACCCAGGCTGGCTTTTCCCCCAGGAGTCCTTGACGGGCATTCAAACTCCCAACCTCTGGCTCTGCAGTCAGACACACCTAAACTACTGAGCTATTCAGCTAGATATACTGCATAGTGACGAATGATACATGCAAATTAGGCGTGTGTTTATCGACTTTTGGGCTCTCCAAATTATTTGGACTTCAGTTCCTAGAGTTTCTGGAAGTGCTGATTGGTTGAGAGTTAAAATCATCAGGAGAGGCCATTCTCTCGTTCCCATCACTTTCACAGGTGCGTTTGGTGGGTGTCACAAGAGAGGGCCTTCTCGGTGGCTGCTCCCAGACTCTGGAACTCCCTCCCACTGGAGGCCAGCTTGGCCCCATCTTTGCTGTCCTTCCACAAGCAGGCCAAGACCTTCCTCTTCAGGCAAGGTTTCCCTGAGTGACTGGCTGCCTGAGTGGGGTTTTTTAATGGATTGTTGTGCCTTACTGCTTTGATTGTGTTTTGGTGTTGCTTATGTTTTTCAGTATAGTATTGGTTTGATCTGGGTTTTTTTAGTATTTTTCTACTCTCTGTTCTGCTCATTGTTAGTTTTAATATTGTCTTTTAAGGATGTAAGCTGATTGGGTCCTTTCAATATTTAAATTAAACTAAAATAAAATAAAACAAAACAGAGGCCAAATGTTGAGACCTCCAAATGGTCTCCTAGCAGGAGTTCTAATTTTGTTCACCAAGCTTCAAGCCTAAGGGTAAGAGGAGATTCTAGAGGGCATTCAAATCCTTAAGATTAACCTCCTCTGTCTTCCCTTTTGCCACAGGATTTCCTAAAAGACAGGTGCCTCTGCAATCAAAGCTCCCAATTAACTTCTGGTGGCTAATCAGGGCTGGGGCACAGCACGCTAAATGCAAGATAGAGAGGCAGTGAAAAACCCATGTTCCGATAATCACATGTTTAGCCATCTTCCAGACAGGTGTAGAAGCCTCTTCTACAAATAAAACTAAACCAGTCCTCTAAATTTGACCCCGAGCTTGGATTCTGTCCTTCAGCCTTCGGTCCTGAGTTCCAGTCCTGCCCTTCCAGGTTCAATTCTGCCATTCAGTTCTGTTCTGCCTCCTGACAGGTCTCGGAGGTGGCTTCGGCTACGTCGTGGGAGGCATCAACTGGGACAGGACCCGCTTCGGGAGGGCCGTGGGGGGCCAGCTGCGCGTCATCTACATCTTCACCTCCGTCACCTTGACGGCCGCCACCGTCTTGACGCTGATCAGCATCCCCGAACGGGCCTTGCCATCCTATAACAAGAAGAAAAAAGTGATGAAAAGCCCCAGCTTGCCACTCCCTCCTTCCCCACCCCTCCTCTTTGAGGACTGTGTGAACGGAAACCTCGCCGCCCCGAACCCGGTGCATTTGTACACCAGTTTCACCAGCCCCATTTCTCCCCTCAGCCCCCTCACGCCGAAGTACGGCAGCTTCATCAGCCGAGACAATTCCCTGACGGGCCTCAGCGACTTTGCCTCGTCCTTCGGGACGTCCAACATCGACAGCGTCCTTATAGACTGTTTCACGGGGGGCCACGAGGGCTACACGGCCCTCCCGGCTAGCCTCCCCAGGCAGGCCACCAGCGTCAGCTTCCCCCGAGCTCCAGATGGCTTCTACGGCCACGAGACGGCTACCTCGGAAGGGGGCGACCCTTTAGGGTTGCCAAATGTTGAAGGCTTGCGGGTGGGATCTTTGGATGCCATCAAACCCCGGTCCTCGGGAATCCTAAAACGGCCCCAGACTTTGGCTATTCCGGATATCATCACAGGCAACATTCCCGAAAGCAGCCGGAGAAGGAATGTCACCTTCAGCCAACAGGTGAGTGGAAGAAACCGAGGCCGTGGTGTCAGTTCTCCATTTTTACTTACTTAGGAAAGTGTTGCCGCTCAAACATGCATTGCTACATCATCAGAGAACGATAAGGTCAAATCCTCTTGCGTAACGTACGCCGGCATAAGCGATCTGCTGCTCCGGAGACATCGTTCCTAATTATGCCGGCATATGTTACGCAGGAGGATTTTGGCCACTGTTTCTTAATTTTAAACTGTCTTGTTGGTTTTGAAAGGAACTCTTTGCTTTGATCATGACTTCTTAGCAGCCACGTTGATGCGCTCCTTATCGTTGCTTCAATTCTGTGAGTAATTTGTGGGGTCACACATTATGAATGTGTTGGGTTGCCATGGCCAATAAGCTGAGAAAATACATGAAGTCCTCTCTGGTTCCCCCTACTGGGCAATTCTGATGTTGCATGTTGGAAATAGAGGTCAAAGTCAAGACAAAATTGTGTAATATATTTCCTGTGCCGCTTAGGATTGATAAGAGAATGCCAACTTTCTCAAAATGCCCCCAATAATACCTTAACATTCCTTTATAAAGCAGCTTCTGAAGGGGGCTTGGTTATAATTGCTGTATGCATGTAATTCAGATGTTCTTCTTTACACCCCAAAAGGAACTGTGTTCTCATAGCTACAAATTTCCCAGATAGCTATAAGTTCCTCAGGTCGTCCACCCCTTTCTCATTAACTGGCACTCAAGAGTAACTCATTATATTACTTGGTAACCAGAAAGTAATTTTATTTAAGCTTCCCTGGACATCCTTCAGAAAGTGGGACAGATAAAAACAAATGAAGAGGTGATAACAGTTATTGAGGAAGGTGATGTGGGAAGCACTTCCTCCTGAAATTTTTGTTTGTGTGTGTGTGTGGGGGGGGGGGTAAACCCCAGACTGCCATTGGGAACACAAGCCACTTCTGGTAGAAGCATGCTCAGTGGGTTCTTACACTGCCAAAGAGCCAAAGGGGAGTGATGGATCTGGCTGACCATAGACTATGTTAGCATCTATCTTTAAGACTGGACAAATGCACAGTGGAGGCTTAGTTTCCACCAAATGATTCACTCCAGAGTTCCTTTTGCCCTGATAAAGGGGCCACAACTTCCAGAATTCTGCATGTCAGCCGAAGGGTTCCTCCTCCAGCAAAGCAGCTTAGCTAGGTTCTGTTTCCAGTATTGCTGGTTGGTTTTTTTTTCCCCCGGAGGGATAGAGTGATGCCAGCTTTACTGACGGGTCATCATTGTGGCACAGGTCGCCAACATTCTGCTGAACGGGGTGAAGTACGAGAGCGAACTGAACGGATCCGGCGAACTCTCTGAGCAGCCGCTCTCGATGAAGCTGCTGTGTTCCACCATCTGCCACATGCCGAAAGCCCTGCGCAACCTCTGCATTAACCATTTCCTTGGTAAGCCTGTGCACAACCCATATGTCCAGTTGTTTGGGTGAGTGAGTTCTGTGTGGATGGTGTGAGAGGGGGGGGTGTCTAAGGCTTGTGAACCAGTCCATCCTCTTAGTTGTAGTCATGGCCAATGAAAAGCAAAAAACAATGAGCCTGCCTCGCCTTTCTTATCTTTCCCCCCCTGTGCAGCACTGATATAGCGCTATATCACATAGCACTATTATATAGTCCTGTTCAAACCATTCTGGCTTTTAAAAAAGTAGAAGCCCCCAGTGGCAGGGGGGAAAAAAACACTGACTCATAAGCAAAAAAGGGCTAGGCTGATTCACATTGGCTATTGGGTCATGTGGTCGTTGGAAAATGCTTTGAATTCACCTGTGCTCATTATGGAACAAATCTTGAGGTATTTGTCAAATGTAACCATTGCCTTAGATGGGAATTCTCCCCTTTTTTTGTATCCTGACCTTTAGGCAATGAGTGAAAAAGGTTAGGGGCCCCGGGATTCTCTTATGGGTGGATGACCAAATGGTGGAGTTATCATTTAGCATCAGATGAGGTTTAATGGTTGATAGCCATGGATCGTCAACTCCACTTCATGTGCCTTGTTTTGCCTTATTTTTCCTCTAGGCTGGCTCTCCTTCGAGGGAATGCTTCTGTTCTACACCGACTTTATGGGAGAGGTGGTGTTCCAGGGTGACCCAAAGGCCCCCCACGAGTCGGAAGAGTATCAGAAATACAATGCCGGTGTGACCATGGGCTGCTGGGGCATGTGCATCTATGCATTTAGTGCTGCACTTTATTCAGGTGATGATGGTGATGGTGATGGCAAGTCCATTCTGACTTATGGCAACCTTTCCCAGAGTTTTCTAGGTAGAGAAGACTCAGAAGTGGTTTCTCATTCCCTAATTACTAATCAGATCTGTGGTGGGAGAATCAAAGAATGCAGGGATTTCCCAGTGATGAAGCTTGGGTGTAATTCCTGTGAAGGGAACAGTAAAACCTGGAGTGGATTCACAGTCCAGCTGGAACGGGAGTCACCAGCTGCCACTAGGCTGCCATTGCTTTGACTCCTGGCCATGAAATATTTCAGGCTGGCTCTGTTTGAAGAAACAGATTTTTTTCCTTTTGTTTTACAGCCTCCCTCGAAAAACTGGAGGAATACTTCAGCATCCGTACGCTGTATTTTATAGCGTATCTTGCCTTTGGACTCGGGACGGGTTTAGCAACTTTGTCCAGAAATATCTACGTGATTTTGTCACTCTGCGTGACATACGGGATTCTGTTTTCAACGCTTTGCACACTTCCATATTCTCTTTTGTGCGACTACTACCAGAGCAAGAAGGTATGTTTTGAAGCCGCAGTTTTTGGGGGGCCAACATTTTGCTGGCAGAAATTCTTTTATTTATTTATAAAGAACATGCCTTTGTTCTGCTGTAGCCGGCCTGAATCGGCTGGCTACAGCTGAGCGTGTCACAGCGGAACAATTGTAGGCTAAGGTTTTGCTAGTAAGAAAGTGATTTATAAAATAAGCTTCCTATTCTTTTTTTTCCTTTAAAAAAAACCTTTTAAAAAAACCAGTTCGCAGGATCCACTGAAGACGGCACCAAGAGGGGAATGGGTGTTGACATTTCCCTCCTCAGCTGCCAGTACTTCCTGGCCCAGATCCTCGTCTCCGTGGTGATGGGGCCTTTAACGGCGGCCGTGGGCAGCGCCAACGGGGTGATGTACTTTGCCAGCGTGACATCTTTCCTGGGCTGCTTGTATTCCTCCCTCTGCATTGTCTATGAGATCACGCCGAACGAGGAGCTGCCGGAGGAGGAGCAGCCTCTGATGCTGAGCGCATGACGTTGGGGTTCGTGGCCATCCCGGCCAGTGTGCCAGTCCTTTCGCCACGGTGCTGCTGTGGAAGAGACAATTTTAAAAAACAAGGGATCTGCACGGACATTGGCATCTAATTAAAAAAATGGAACACCACAAGATTGCTGGTTTGTGTTCTGTACATGTCGACTCAGAAGTAACTCCCTCGAGTAGCTTTTATTCCCTGTTCTAGATCAATGGGTATAAAATTCGAGGGGGTTCCGATGTTAAAGTGTGACCTACACGGGAAGAACTGTGTTTGGACAGAGAAGGCAACATTGGTTCAGAGCCGGCCCTGCCAGTTGGGTAGAGTCTCCTTTATTATTCCACACCCTCACCTCAGAGAAGCTGGACCCTTCCGCAGGATCAGTTTTCCCCTTGGCTCCCTCTTCCCGACACCCTTGCAAGGTCGTCCAGGCAGAGGAGCGAAAACGATAGGCGTAAGCTGATTTTTGTGGCCAAATAGAGATTCGATCCTGTGTCCCACCAGATTTTCTGTCCAGTGCTTTAACCACTACACAGCGCTGCGTCAGTCTTCGTGGTTCATAGGACGTAGGAATAAGTTTCCCTCACATAATTTAACGGTGTATGTCGGTGCTTCTTCCCCAAATCCTTAATTTTCCAAAATAAGACTAAACCACTCCGGCTTGCCTTGGAAGCCATATGAAAGTGGCTAGAAGTCAGTTTCAACTCGACAGTGCAGAACGACAATAACAACAATATATTATAAGATCTCAGGGCGGCTTGTTTTGTGCTCCCTGGCATAGGGGTCAAAATGCAGCACATGTACGAATTTTTAGGAACTCCTGCAAAATTTAGACTAAAATCTGGAACAGGTGCATTGTACTACTACAAGATAAAAATGAGGGGTGCCAGCATTGATTGGATCAGAGTTCTATCTTCAGGCACCTGCCTGTTTCTGTTGTACACATTTCTAACCACTGTTTCTAGGATCTGAACACCACCGTTCCCAATACAGTCTGCTGGGGGTGAGCTCGTGAAATCCTGCACCCCGTAGCATGTGTGAACTAAGCCTTCTTGCTTATCAATCAAGAAGGGCTTACATTCAGCAATATAAATAATTGCACCCACTCATTTCCTTGTGTTTCTCCTTCTTTCTGTTGTTGTTGTTTTTTTTTTAATTTGCTACATCTGCTTCTGCCTTTGAAGGGTTCTATTTATTTTTGCATTTGTTACTGCTGTGAGCTGCGTTGCATATGGTTTTTGGAAATGGCGAATACAACTAAAGGGTGGCTGGGGAGCAAATTTATTTTACGGGTAAATAAATGCCATCCTGTGCATGTCTACTCAGAAGAAAGCAAAGTCTCCCCTTGAATTCGGTGAGGGCTGCAAGTATATGTGTTCACGAGAGGAGGACTGCAAAACTCTACTCGTTTTCTTGGGAGTAAATCTTATTAAACCCAGTGGGATTTTCCCCCCTCTATATATGCACAATGCAAGATTTCATCTAGTGAAACAGATCGCTCGATGGATCCATCTATGGCTCAGAGCACAGAAAAGTTACTTTTTTGGACTACAGCAACTCTGGAACTTCTAGTTTAGTAAAAGTAACGTTTCTGCGCCTCGATAACAAGTAAATGTAGGTCCATGCGTTTAATGCGTGCACATAGTTTGTAATACTACAACTCCCATTATCCCTCTACAGGCATAAGCTGGGGCTTCTGGGGGGAGTTGTAGTAGAAAGGCTGCCGCTGAAAACAACCACGCCTTCCTGCCCGGGGCTTCAAGCGCCTCCCTGCGGAGCCGACCAATGAGAAGAGCCCTTCCGCCCTTTCCCGGACCGGAGTCACACTCTCGGCCAATAGGAGTGGCCAGTTCGTGACGTAAGGTTCCCTCCGATTGGCCGAGGGTGCCAGCAAGAACCGCATGAATGAGGAGAGGGCGTGGCTAGCTGCCAGCTGGGTGGGTGGGGGGTTCTTTAGGTCATCGTCTCTGGGCTGCGGCTGCTGCAGAGTGCTGTGTAGCCTCGGTGGAAGGTGAGTTGTTCCGACCCCTTTGCTTTCTGCAAGACTGGAAGGTAGCCTTAGTCGATGCAGGAGGAAGCAGAATTTCTGGTCCTCCGTTTGCCAGAAAAAGGGAAAGAAAGCTTTGCTCTCCCTCTCTATTTTGGATTTTGCTTTCCGCCTTGCTGAGAAGGGCACAGGCCATGCATCTCAGTATTCCTGTGCGTCCCTCTGTGGATTTATACTCATGCACAATATTGCAACGGATCTGCATGGCTTCCCGCTTCATTGGATTTTATTTAGGTTGGGCTTTCCACCCCACAATAACTAGGAAAAAAAATCTGATCTGGAATGCTTTGGCTTGGGCTTTAGGATCATCGGGACAGCTAGTTGGATTTTTTTTTGTGTACCCGGAGGTTGGGAGTTCGATGCCCCTTTCTGGGAGAAGAGCCAGCCTGGGTGGCCTTGGGCCAGCTGCACAGCAGTCCCAGGGATCCCTCTCTGGAAGAAGGGAAGCGGAAACTTACTTCTGAGTTTTCTGTACCTGGAAAACCCGGGAAAGGTCTGCCCTGTCAGAATTGATTTGACAGCATATTCTTATTCTTATCATCATCATCATCATCATCATCGGGACACGGAGTTTCTTATATTCTCAAAAATGCATGTGTATATATATTTTGTTTTGTAGGCTGCATTGCGATGTCTTGCCAGATCAGCGTCCTAGTGATCGGAGCTGGGAATCGGGGGCAAAATTATGCTTCTTACGCTTTACATTACCCTGCCCGCATGAAGGTAAACGAATTAAAAGCCCTGCGGTCCTTGTGGTTGGTACACTTTCAGGCTTGGTGTGCAGACTAGCTCTGTCCGTGTGGAAAACAGGGTTCCTCAGGTACAACGGCGGTGACCCGGAAATGAAGCCCGCTGGCAAAGGCGACCTCCCCGTGGAGAGGAGAAATCGGATGCTTTTAAACCGGAAGGCTGCGGGCGCTTTGTGAGAATCCATCCACACTGCCCAGTTATGATAGTTTGGTGGCTGTTTCTCTCCATCCTGGGGAATGTTGGGGAAGTGTAGTTTAAGGAGATGCATAATTTTTTTCTGCTGTAGTTCAGGAGAAGGCATGCCCTTTGTGCAGCACCATGTGGGAAGTCTCTCACAAACCCCAGGGTTCTGTAGGATGGATTCACGGCAAGTTAGCGTAGAATTCAACTGCAGGATAACTCTGTAGGGCAGACACCGTGGGACATGTTTGACCAAAACAACATAAACCAGGCGGCCATTTTAAGGTGTACTTTTGAGGCAAAACACGTGTTGACAGCCGGTGAGGTATAGTGGACAGAGTGATAGACTAGGAGAGCTGGGTTCGAATTTGCGGGAAATGTCAAACCCCCATTCCCCTTTTAGTGCCGTCCGTAGTGGATCCTGCAAACAGAAAAGTTGGATGTGACTTGACAGCACATAACCAAATGCTTCTCTCCATATTTTTACTTATTTCTGCAAATACAAAGACTTGGATTCCCCCCCCCTTTTTTTTTCCTTTGGTGAAACCTGGAAATTCATAAAGAGGGCCGCGAACGTTTCAGGAGGGGCCAAGGAAACGGAGGTTCAAAGTCTTGACGGTCCATTATGCCTTTTCACGATTTCTTCCTCCTATCAAAGTCCAGTCTCTGTGATTTTCTGCATTCATCCAACCGGAAATGTGGTGTGATAAAGTGAGCTTTGACCTGAAAGAATAAGCTGAAAGGGGTTTTTTTTTTAACCTGAAAGCCTCAACAGGGCAAGCGAGAGGACTAGAACAAAATCCCTCGTGTGGTTTAACAGCGGTTTTAAGCCCCGTCTTTCCCTTGCTGGCCTGCCCTTTTTTATTTTATTTTTGGCCACGCTTTTTGTCAAAAAGAGTAGTGGTGTTTTGGCTATTTTGAGTGTGTTTGTGTAAGAATACCAGAACTCGAATTCAAACAGGACACTAGCCAAAGAGTACGATAACTATACATACTAACCAATATCTGACAGAATCCTTTGGGATTCTAATCCCAGCAGAATGAGGGCCTTATCTCCCTGCCTCAGCTTGTTCTGTGGCATCCATCTATAGGGTATTCTTTGTAAAATAATAATAATCACATGCCATTAAGTAAATTCTGACTTATGGCAAACGTTTTCATGGTTTTCTAGGTAGAGAGTACTCAGAAGTGTTTTACCCTTCCCTTCCTCCAGGGGGCACCCTGGGGCTCTGCAGCTTGCCCAAGGCTACCCAGGCTGGCTTTTCTCCCAGAAGGCTCAGTGGGGGAATCAAACTCCCAGCCTCTGACCCCACAGCAAGAGACCTAAACCACTCCGTTATCCAGCCAGCCTTTGTGAAATACCATTCTGCTTTTCCTTGTCTGTTAGGTGATCGGTGTGGCCGACCCTCGGGCGTTTGCGAGAAAGGCCCTCCAGGAAGCTCACAAGATTGACAAAGATAATGTGTTTGACGGTATGTGAGTGCCCCGTTTTGACCCTGCTTTCTCCTGAAAGGACTTGATGATCCTGTGTGGAATTTCTCTCTTCCCCCTCTTACTTCTTTGGCCTGAAAGAATGCAGTGGATACCAGGTCTCCGTAAACAGGGTACCAGTTCTTTTTGGGGTGGAGCTGAGACCGGATTTTTCAAATGGAAAGATGAGCCGAGAACTGACTAGAGCTTTGTAAAATGGCCTTGTTTAAATTCCAGCTTCCTGGTTGATTCAAGGACTTTTAGTAAACTTTCCAAAGTCTCCATTTAGCCCTGTTGAAATACTGTGCCTAACCGACAGACTGAAATATGTGCCAGCAATGAGGGAAGATCACCCTTGACTTGTAGATATGGGTCTGTCTCAAAGAGGCCTACCTACCTACCTACCTACCTACCTACCTACCTACCTACCTACCTACCTACCTACCTACCTACCTACCTACCTACCTACCTACCTACCTACCTACCTACCTACCTACCTACCTACCTACCTACCTACCTACCTACCTACCTACCTACCTACCTACCTACCTACCTACCTACCTACCTACCTACCTACCTACCTACCTACCTACCTACCTACCTACCTACCTACCTACCTACCTACCTACCTACCTACCTACCTACCTACCTCATTGTTCATAGCACTTTCTGGGTTTTCTGCATCAGTAAATTCGATTGAAAAGTAACACAACATAGTACAAACATGCAGTTTATATCCAGCAAATAAATACCTGTAGTTCCGCGCCGCAAGCAAACCTGACTTGAAATAAAAATACATTAGGACTTTCCCACCCCCACTCCCATCTGGAGGATCAGTATCCACTGATTCATATTTTTTTTGCTGGCTGAAAATACTAAACAACACCCCCTAGAAATAATTGTTTGTTAAGTCTTTAAGGATGTATTTACTAGACTTGGCTAATAGAGGCAGCCAGAGACCCACCACTGGGGATACCACAGTCCTACTATGTATAAATAGTTAAACAAAGACCAATATCAGCTTTAATAAAAAGCCACTTTTAAAAGTTCAGTTTCCGCCTGTTTCTTAGAAACGTGGAGGGAAGAAGCCTGTCGGATGTTTGTCCTGGAGAGAAGGGGCCACCACCAAGGAAGCATGAGACCCAGTGTTTTATTCCCTGCGGCCATAGGCTGTTGCTGCTCAAAGTGGATGGAGAGCAGGGCTTATGACCCCTAAAATGCATTGCGTTTCCTTGTCTAGATGCAGTAACTGGACAGGAATTCAATGTGCCTGTCTGCAGGACAGAATTAAATCCGTACAAGCCTTTTCTCGAAAAACAGAACCCAAGGCATAGAGAAATCTGTTTGGATATCAATATATTTCTGCTCCTGATGTTTCTGAATGGTCTTCTTTTAAGACTGGCGACCGGCAGCGGAACGAGAGAAGTTTGCCGACGCTGTCATTATCGCAACCCCAGATCGGCTCCATAAGGTACTTCCAGAGACCGCGTGCGAGGTTTAATTGGGAGAATTTGGGTCATTGGGATTTCCCCCTGATGTGCAGGCTTGTCTGAGTCCTGTTGTGGAATAAAAATAAGGGCAGGATAAATAACGTACATTGGGAGAGAAGGAATGCAGGCTAGGATCCGTCCCAGCTCTGCCGTTCTAAGATCCGTAGGTAGCTCATCTGTGTTGGGGGGAAGCCGATCTGCAGCCAAAACGTAGCTGCTGTGTTTCCACAGCAAACTGGCCAGTTTTTTAAAAAGGAGGTACATGTGGATGGGCTTGGGGGCGGCGGGATGATGCTTAAGAGAGATCCTTTCCTTCCACACTGATGGGTTAAAACAAGGATGAACTGCAGTGATGTGCAATTCCCAAGGAGCTGTCCAAGGTTCTGAACCAATTGTGGGGGGCCTATAGTTCAGCCCTTGAGTGTGCCCTGTAAAGTTTGGACTCAAATCCGGCACAGATTTGTGACCTTTGCAAACGTAGGATCACTGGCCTCTAGAGATGGGCACGAACCTCGGTTCGGAGGTTCGTGCCAGTTCGTCTACCTGGCTCCACAGGTGCCGCACACTCCCTTCCCTGCCTCCCCAGTGAATGACCCACTTAGCAGTCGGGAGTGCACTTTTCTCTTCCTCCTCTTCGCCCGTCCGACCATTCCCGGCAGGAGCACATCTGTATTGAAACGTTAGTTCCTTTCTGTTCATTTAAGGTGGCTTCCCCCCCCTCCTCCCCAATAGGCACCAGCGGTGGCTTTTGCGCAAAAGGGGTACCACATCTTATTGGAGAAGCCCATGGCGGTGAGTACTGAGATGTTAGAAGGGAAAGCTTGTGGCCACTATGGCAGCCCATGGCCCATCCAGCTGTGTCGCAGGGGCCTAGAGGGGATCTGGATCAGCAAATTGGTTTTTGGGTGCAGAACCCACTATTTTTTTAAAATCGCTCTTTTTTCTTGGACTGCACATCTCGGGGTATGACAACGTAGTCGCTAACCATGCTGGCTAGTGATTCTGGGACTTCTCATCCCAAAACAGAGAAACTTTTCCTATATCCATGCAGAACATACAAAAAGTATGTAATTATCATTATTATCAACAACATTACTGAGGATGATTTGGTTTTCCTAGTCTTCATGTTTTGCTTTTTTTGGTGGTCCAGGTAACCCCCGACGACTGTAAAGAAATAGTCCGGGCATCTAAAGCCAGCAACATCATCCTGGCCGTGTGTCACGTCCTGCGCTACTATCCGGTTGCGCTGAAGATCAAGGTGCGTCTGCTCAGCCAAACAGGGGTGCCCCCCCTGTGCTTTTAAAGTCCCATGTTCCTTGTCATCCGCTTATGCTGGTGTGGCTGATGGGAGTTGTGGTCTGGAGGGCTGCCTTTTATCCCACCTGGTCTTCAGATAATGTCAGCCCCTCTAATGCAGACACCGATGGGTGTCGTCGGTCAAAAAGCTAAGGCTCCTATCCCATTGGAGATTTTTATACACAACCGCCGACATGGTGCCAGGGTCTGTGCCCTTTGGCTTGGTCTCCCGCCTTTGGGACAGGGTCACAGGACCGGCTTAGCCAACTTGGAATATTGCAGAAGGGGTCGTGTTTCCTTGTACTGCCGGGTTGTACGACTTGTCGCACAAGCATGAGGTTCCCATTGTGCGCCCGATGGCACAGTCCAGCATGACTTCTGTGCAATTTTGCCTGATAGGATACAGGCCCTTGAGAGGGTCAGAGTTCCCCTTACTTGGCTGAATTTTGTTAGGCTGATTACAGGAGGGACAGCCTAGCAGGGCTGCCTGTATCCTCTTCCCTGTGTTTACTCCTAAGGAGGTGCTGGACAGTAAGCTGATCGGAGACATCTGCCATATTCAGCATCTGGAGCCTGTAAGTACCATTAAGAAAAGTGGCCACATTATCCAGAACACTCATGCTTTGCTCTTATCCTACCTTCTTTCTCCACATTTTCCCCATGGCCTTGGAAAAGTTACTTTCTTGGGGGGAGTTACATTTGGCCCATGGCTGACACAATTGTGGGCTGTAGGTGGCGCCCTAACTTAAGGCTTTGTACTTGTTATTCCAGTAATCAGTCAACCTTCCTTCCTTCCTTCCTTCCTTCCTTCCTTCCTTCCTTCCTTCCTTCCTTCCTTCCTTACTTACTTACTTACTTACTTACTTACTTACTTACTTACTTACTTATTGCAGGTTGGATTCTGGCATTTCGCCCACTCTTTCGTCCGCGGGAACTGGAGGAACGAAGGGGAAAGTTCCTTCTCCTTGCTGGCCAAATCGTGCCATGACGTTGACCTCATTAATTTCTGGATGGGGGGCAAAAGGTACTGTGGCAGGCCATCTCTTTAATCCGAGATTCCTCCCCGTGGGGCACCCATGGGTCTTCTCCAAGGCTGCACATGGGGCAGGACAATCAACCCCATCAGCCACAGGTGCTCTGAGTGATCTCAGTCGTCCCATCTCTCAGGAGATGTAGTAGGGATTTGAACTCTTGTCCCTCGGTTCCACAGCCAGGCGCTTCAAGCTATGCCAAGACTTCTCACCTTCTGCTAGTCCTTTTTCAAAACTAGAGGTGCCAGGACTTGAACTGGAGGGTTTGAAGATGCTCACTGTATATGCGATTACTCAGCGAGGGCCTCTCTGTCCATTCTTGCAAGCACTGCTTGGATACAGCTTGACCTAAAGGGTTGGGGAAATCCTTCCCTCTGCATTTCATTGGACTGCAATGGGTTAAGTGCCCAGCCCAGGGTTAAGTGAACAGACCCCCCCCTTTAAAAAAAAAGAAAGAAGTTGTTTAAAATAATTTTTCTATTAACAAACCACCTTCCTGGATCAAGTCCGTAAAAGGCAGCAAAGTACATAAATGTATCCATGTGGATGCGATGAATACTTGAAAATGTTCTTAGTCTTATTGATCCTCCCAGGCTGAGATGACCTGCGGTGACTTCTTCTGCACCAGTGAGGTTTCTATGCATTCCACAAAAAACACGACCCACATCTCATATTCCCACCTTTGCCTGCCATTTTCAATGTGTGGTTAAGCCAATTCCGAGTAAGGGATCCCCCCCCCAAAAATTTTTTTTGTTCTGCATAGGAAACTGCCAGATCCCCTGCAGGTGAATGTCATTTCTCTGCACAGGAAAGCTGCTAGAATGGAGACGAGAGTAGTTAAAAGGGTGCTGATCGAGGAAAAAAATAAACCTACCAGGACTGCTTTCTCCCGGTTTTGCAAAAAAAGAGAGAGAAAGTCGATGGTTGTTAAGATCTCGTGGCATCTTTGGTGGATCCGTAGACTCAAAAATTCTTCCTTCTCCACCTTGCTGGTTTTGAAAAAAAAAAAAAAGAGAGAGAGAGAGAAAGCCGATGGATGTTAAGATCTCGTGGCACCTTTGGTGGATCCGTAGACTCAAAACTCAAAAATTCTTCCTTCTTATTTTCTTACAGATGCTTGAAAATCTCCTCGTTTGGCAGTCTCTCTCATTTCACAAAAGAGCACAAGGTTTGTCGTATTTTTCCCTTTGTACCCTAACTAAAAAAAAAAAAGAGAGAGAGAGAGAAAGCCGATGGATGTTAAGATCTCGTGGCACCTTTGGTGGATCCGTAGACTCAAAACTCAAAAATTCTTCCTTCTTATTTTCTTACAGATGCTTGAAAATCTCCTCGTTTGGCAGTCTCTCTCATTTCACAAAAGAGCACAAGGTTTGTCGTATTTTTCCCTTTGTACCCTAACTGATAAAGAAGCAGACGGAGACACGCCCGCGCTTTGCCTTTCTCCAAGACCAGTGGTAGCTCCATTGCTCTGAATGTGCTTTACAGTGTCTTATTCGCTCTTCTTAAATGTACCAGTGGCTAAAAAACGATGACTCCTCGGAACATTTTAAATTTCATCTCTTACCAATTTTTTGATTTTTCTTCTGTTTTGTTGTTGGGTGGATCTTTTCTGTTCAGTCCACGGCAGGGTTTTGGACTACAAGGTCCAGCATTCCTTAGGTTGCCTGAAGAATTCTGGGAGTTGTCGTCCAAAACCATTCATCCTTATCATCATCCCCAGAACTGCAGAGCTGGAAGGGGACACCCCTTGAGCATGAATTGCTCCCTAACAGCAATAAACTGAAAATCTAAGAGACTTTCTTTAAACTTCCAGCAAGCAAAACTGGATTATTAAAGTTCTGCAAAAAGGCTGCAAACACACATTTGCAGCCTTTGAATTTATTTCCTATTATATTGCATTTTTGTGGACCGCTTTATTTTTGTGCTGAAAACACAGCCTCTTGGCTGTCTGTTGATTCATAATTTCTTAGCCATTTTCATTACAAGTCCAGTGTATATTTTGCATTCTCGGTCAGTTTGAGCTTAACTTTACCGTTCATCTTTTACATTCCCAAACGCAGACACTGATTTTTTTTTTCTGGAGCCCTTTTCCTGACATGGTTCATTATCTAGTTGTCTGTAGGGTTTATTGCTTCTTTTATGTCTTTATTTTTAGCTGTTGATTTTCTTTTTTCTCTCTGTGCTCTGAAACCACCTTTAATTTTCCTTCTTCTTCTCAAATGTAAACTGGCATGGAAAAAAAATATTTGCAGATCACTAAATAAGGACCTCTTGCTACATTATACTAGCCCGAGGGAGCTGCTAGCCGGTGCCTAGACTGTTCGATTGAGCAAACATGTCCCTATTCAGCCAGGAAAATCTACTTAAAACTGGGAGAGGAGGTAAGAACTCAATAAGAATTATAACCATACGTAGGAGAGGGAAGGGATATCTAATTAATTTCCCCAGACTCTTTTCCTAGACCTTGGAAAAGTTCCTTTTTTCCATTTAAAATATGTTTGCCCCGCCTTTCTCCTTGAAGAGAACCGAAGACCAGCTTCACGGCATTCAAAAGACGATTATTTGAAGTTGGAAACAATGAGTCTACAACGGTGGTTGACATCATTAAAGGATAATATTTAAAGCTAAGGACAAGAAGTAACGAGGCATCTTCCATTGTTAAAAGGCAGTACAGTGGTGCCTCGCTTGACGAGGATAATTCGTTCCATTGAAATCGCTGGTAAGCGAAATCCTCATCAAGCGAAACAGCTGCTAGCCGGTGCCTAGACTGTTCGATTGAGCAAACATGTCCCTATTCAGCCAGGAAAATCTACTTAAAACTGGGAGAGGAGGTAAGAACTCAATAAGAATTATAACCATACGTAGGAGAGGGAAGGGATATCTAATTAATTTCCCCAGACTCTTTTCCTAGACCTTGGAAAAGTTCCTTTTTTTCCATTTAAAATATGTTTGCCCTGCCTTTCTCCTTGAAGAGAACCCAAGACCAACTTAATGGCATTCGAAAGACGATTATTTAAAGTTGGAAACAATGAGTCTACAACGGTGGTTGGCATCATCGTAAAGCAAATTTTCCCTATCTAAACATTAAGCGATAGCAAAAGCGATTGCAAAAAACACATCATTAAGCGATTTCCTCATTGAACGAGGAAATCGTCAAGCAGGGCACCACTGTGCCACTGTTAGAAAAGGAAAATATAAGAAGCACAAGTCATACTAAAAAAATTCCATTTCCCTATCTGAACATCGTTTTGTGATCAGTATTGCAATCGCAAAAACCTCATCGTAAACTGGATTTGTCGACTAATGAGGTAATCGTTAAGTGAGGCACCACTGTTTATAAGTATATTTTTTTAAAATGCCACTGTTAAAAAAGGAAAATATAAAAAGCACAAGTCATACTTAAAAAATCCCATCAAAGCGGTAATGCATAAGAATCCATCTTTTGTGTATGTCTGTGTGAAGGCCCAAAGACATTTTATTTTCCCATAGGGCTATTTCCGCTGGCCGGTGTCCGTGGTGTGCAGTAATGGTCAGTCTGATATAGAATCACTGACTAAAGCGTTGAAGGATGGCCCTTATGGAAGGTGCGTTTACGACTGTGACAATGATGTGGTTAGTAACCAGGTATGCAGCGTTAAGATCTCTCTCCATTATTTTATTTTATTAACAATCAACGTAGAATAGACATAAATTCACATGCATGAATTTCGATCCTGGCTTGTCGTTAAGATCTCTCTCCATTATTTTATTTTAATCAATGTAGAATAGACATAAATTCCCATGCATGAATTTCGATCCTGGCTTGTTAGAGGTGCAGCAAACCTGGGTTTGGATTGGAATGTAACACTAATCTGTAGCACGCTAGTGTTTGTAGTTGATCCTCCAAGAAAAACTAAGTTGGTGTAATCGGGGAGGGTAAAGCACCCTGGTTCCTACAATAACAAACCAGGTTTCTGAAGAATCCTAGTTTAACGTTTTGTACAAACGCTCACCTGCAACAGTGAATAGAATGTTTTTGCTTCCTTCGCTAATTCCTGTTCATGATAGAACATAAGTATTACATTGCGTCGATTTTGATCAGGACGTCCAGATTTCAACAGGAACAGCGGAATTGTGAAATTTTCAAATTTAATTTCCATTTGGGTGGTTTGCTTTCAAATCTAGTTTGTTCATGTAAGTTCTGCAAATGATCCAATTTCTGGCTTTCAGGACTTGCACCAGGCATAGCTTTTAGGTGGTGAAATCTATTTCCAGTCCTGAGAGGCAGAAATGTTTTTTTAATTTTTTTTAAAAAAAACAGCAACACCCTTCTGTATCTTGCAATCCACTCGTTTAATGTCTTTTTTTTCAGGTTGTCAACATGGAGTTTGAAGGAGGAGCAACAGCAGCTTTCACGATGATTGCATTTACAGAGAAGCTGGGTGTGAGGAAAACCACCATCTACGGAACAAAAGTGAGACATATTTATGAGCCCCCGTCTTTCTATTTAAAATACATAGCAAATATCTTTGTCCGGGAAACCTACATTTCTACAATCTGACTAATTTAGAGATGCCTCCCATTAAAAAAAATATATATGTATATTCCACTGTTCTCCTCAAGAGAACCCAGGGTTCTCTTTCGTGGAACTTTGTATATGAACACTAAAACTTCGCTCAGTCGAGTTTGGTGGGAAATCCCATGTAAATTGTTAATCCCACTAGAAATTACAATGACTATATAGAATAAATAGGATGATTTTAAAATGGCAGAGCTGGAAGGGACCCTATGGATCATCCAGTCCAGCCCCTGTCAAGGAGGCCCAGTGGGGGATTTGAACTCCCTACCATAGCTAATCCACTCAGCTACCCAGCATTTCTAAACAGAGGCTATTGTATTTGGACATATCACAGAAGACAAGGCTCCCTGGTTGAGATGATAATGCGAGGAAAAGCTGAACATAAAAGGAAAAAAAGACTGAAGTTGAGAGGGATTGACTTTAAAAAGGCAGTTACAGCTTTCAGTCTGCAGGACATAATGAGGGTTGTTAATGACAAGGCCTTTTAGAAATCACTAACTGATAGGGTTTTTATACCATAAATCAGAAGCAAATTAACAGCATATGGCAAGCCGGTATGCCTCCTAATCTGCGGATTAAGTCTGGATAAACCTGCATACGGGAATATATGTATATATTTTAAAAATTCAAGGTTAAATCCAATTACTCTTCCATTGAACTCACTCAGGTTTATATCTGTGTTGACTCACTTATTTCAGTGGATCTGCTGTCGTTGGGACTAAATTTAATGGAGTGAAACTGATCACTATAACCTAAGGATTTATTACATCCAGTTCATTTCATGGGGAACCGGAGTTAGACATTCATTTATGGGTCTACTCAAGAGTATATACTCCTCAGGTGTATGCACAGGCATTGATGATAAGAGTTCACACACAGTCTTTCAATATGAGAGTCTACCGCTGTCTCCCATTGGTTGTGGCCCCAGGATAGCTCAGTGGTGGAGGTCTCTGGCTGCAGAGTTGGGAGTTCGATTCCCCCCAGGGCCTCCTTGATGGGGTTGGACTCAATGATCCAAAGGGTCCCTTCCAACCCTGCAGTTCTAAGACATTATTATTATTATAATTTTTCCTAGCAGCCGTTTTTATCGCCCCTTATCCTGAATATTAGCCCCACCTTCTACAGATGTCATGAAAGTGCTTTTCAAACCTGCCTTTTTAGGGGGAACTCAACTGTGAAGGCTCTGGACCTGTGGAAGTCTTTGATTTTCTCCAACAAAAGAAAATCATCTTTTCTCCAGAGACGGTGCCCTGCGTACCAGAGTCCTTAGGAGCGCATAATGGTGCCGACTATTACCTGATACAGAGTTTCGTTTCGGCCGTAGCTGTAAGTCTACCCAATCTCTCTCTTGACTCAAAAATCCCTCTCATCCAAATGGATTCCAACCCCTTGGCATTGAATGGATTCTGGGTATTTACTTTTTCTTCAGGAAATCCCATATACTGAGAGTTAGCAGTCTAATTAGGTTTAGATTTACATTTTTCCAAATCTCATGTTTCCTGAACCCAATGAGAAGTCCAGCACCCCAACCAGTGATGCTAACCCACTGGCAGCCGGTGTTGATTCTGCTTTTTTTGGCCTTGAAAAGTGCCTGGAAGACCCCATCCTTATTGTAACATTCATAGCTAATGGATTTGGTTTCTGACGAACGATTGCGTGGGTTTGGATGCTCAGTGTTTCTCAACCTCAGTTTCCGAGATGTTCTTGTACTACAACTCCCAGAAGCCTTCCCCACCAGTTGCACTGGCCAAGATTTTTGAGCTGTACTCCAGAAACATCCGGGGACCCAAAGTTGGGAACCATGGCTCCAGATGATAAGCTAACAACTTTTTCTGCCTGGTTTAAGTTTGAACATTTCTTTCTTTCATTCTAAACAGGAGAACAATCCTTTCCTAATCCAGACAGGTGCCGAAGAGACTCTGAATTCTCACCTCCTTGTCTTCGAGGCTGAGCGGTCCAGGAGAGAAAAACGGGTTGTGTTTCTTGAAACATAAATACAAGCTTTTGGACACCTTCATCACCCATGGCAATGGTTGTGATCAAAGGCAGAGGCGGCTCCAGTCCCAGGACAACCCCAGAAGATTGCCAGTGCTAACAGTGGCCGAGGGCTCCCCATATACCCTTTCACAAAAACATGGCCTTCTAGACCTTGCCGAATAACTGCCAGCGTTTTCTATGCAGGCTAAAGCAGATGGGCAAGTATGGGGTTCCTGGGTCATCTCCAGAGTGACCCCCCATTTGCCTCTGAAGAAGGAAATGGTTAAACTCCTTGTGAGCTGCAAGGCATTATGGGACTGGTAGTTTTTTGCAAGGCACCCTTTGCAGAACCTAATGGGCAGAGACTACCAGTACCCAAATGCCTTGCAGTACATCTCCAGATGTTTTTAGTTTACAGAGGCCCATGTGTAAGTGATGAAAAACTTCTCCGTGGACTTAAGATTGTCTGGGCGACGACTCCCAGAATTCTACCTGGGAACATTCCAGGCCAGTTCCGTGGGTTTTGGGACCAAAACAAACAAACACAAGCCCTGAAGCCCCAAGCCTGTGGATGCAAACTGCAAAGCAGCCACTTCCAGAGGGCCAAGAATGGCCTGTTCTGTGCTAATAAGTGGCAAGATTGTATATTTTGCTATCGACATCTAAAGCCCTGAATGGTTTGAGACCTCATGATCTGGTGCTGTGCCTCTCCCATCATGTGCTCAAGGTGGCCACCCTGGGAAAAGGATAAGAAAACACCAACGTTTGAGACCTCATGATCTGGTGCTGTGCCCCTCCCGTCATGTGCTCCAAGGTGGCCAACCTGGGAAGAGGCCAAGAAAACACCAACAAGAAACGGGGCCTTCTCAGTGGTGGCCCCCTTCACTGAAATGTCCTCCTAGGTCTAGAAGATTGGTTAAAGCAGAGCTTTATCACGAGTCATTTAAAAACGTTATTCCACTCAGCCATAGATTGGTTTGACTGTTGCTGTACACATTTATGCTTTTTCCTCCTTTTCTTTGGTTGATAGCTACATACTTGTATTATTTTGTACTTCTATTGTGCCACTCCTCGTGACTTTCCCGTTTCTTTGTACACTCCCCCGAGGAATGAGCTGCCACTAAGTTGGCCAATGTTAAAAATTAAATAAATATTACACTCTTTGGACAAAAGTTTACTTGCTTAAGAGTTTTTTTCTTAAACAACGGCGACTGTGTACAGTGAACGAGTCCCAGAATGTGTACAGAAATCTACACAGTCTGTTCCTGCGAAGAATCAAATGTTGGTCAACCCAGCAGACCACTTCCTTGTAGGCACTGCGCAAGAAAGCAGACCTTATAATCGAGATGGAGCAGCATCGTTTCCAAAGTATTTCTGTAGACACATCTGCAACCTGCTGGACACTGGTCTGGGCCCCAGTGCAGGAGTCAAGAAGCTGGTCTCTACATTTTTGTCTCGCTCTCCGACGATGCTTCTTCCTGTGCAGCAGCTCCCTGGGCGGCCTCTTGCACTCGTCTCCTCTGGACCCGTTCAGCGTTGGTGATAGTCATTGGATGCAAGGGGAAGAACCCCGAAAGGCCTGGGGAGCAAAAGAAACAACATCCATTTGTTGGTGCTGGGGGGTCAACTTGATAAGGCACCTTTTCTCACCCCCTATTTTTTTTAAAAATATGGGAATCGGTAAGGTTGTAAAAGACATCATGATCTAAATTCTCTTCTGTAATGCCAGCAGGCAGCGGAACTCACTGTGGCAGACTGCCGCTGACAAACAGATCAGCGTTCAAATTTCTAGCCAATTTCATGATAAAATTAAAGGGGGATGGGGGGAAAAACACCACACACAACACATGAATTACCCAAAAGTTTTTCAACAGGTTTGGTGATCAAGGCCCCGGTGGAGAGCCAATATTTCAGCCGATCAAAGTTGAAGCCCACAATTTTCTCGCCGTGATCATTCGGGAGCGGGTCGTAGCAACCAATCTGCTCCAAATACTTCCCATCTCGGGCTCGTTTGTTGTGCGCGGCCACGATCCGATAGAAAGGCCTGTTGGTGCAGCCGCCGAGTGCCAAACGGATGACGATGCGCAGGTTGTGGTACTTTGCCAGCAGAGGGCACCCTGAAAGAAATGATGATCCAATCATATTGTTAAATGTCAATCCTTTGTTATCAAAACTGCCTCAAGCACTTCTCCTAGTTTGCTAAGTAAAAGGTCTAGGGCATGTAGCAGGGATAATTACAGTGGTGCCTCGCTAGACAGTTACCCTCGCTAGACAGTTACCCCGCATGACTTTTTGCGATCGCTAGACGATTTCGCTAGACATTGACTTTTTGCGATCGCTAGACGATTTCATCAGTGGAACGGATTATCATCGTCTAGCGAGGCACCACTGTACTGGGTTTCTCAGCTAGACTGCTGCTACACAGCTGGTGGGTTATGCCCCAGACAGCAGGATTGGAATGCTATACAGTTTGAAAAGCTGCCTGGAGAGCTCAGTGGTTTAGGTTTCTGGCTGCACAGCCAGAGGCTGGGAATTCGATTCCAACCCCTGGGCCTCCACAACGCTGAGTTTACAATATTTGAGCTGCTGACAAGAGAGCATTCATTTATAGGGTTGCAAGGAGATTTGGCAACACACAACAACAACATTTGTTTTTAAGGACCATACAGTCCGATGTTAACATACCAGGGTGGAAATTTCGTTAAGTCTCCATTTTAATATTTGATCATATAACAGATTCCCTCAAACCTACTGTTTCTCTGCTTCACATTAGGGTGGAGATGCTACTGCTCGCCTACCTTGCAAGGGTGTTTATAAGCGGTCACCAAAATTGTGCTGCAAACTGCGTTTAACCTTCTGCCGCCACAACGCACAAGCAAAGAACAATTAAAAAAGCAAAGAATAATTAAGGCCACTTACCAAGTTGAACCATGATGTTTTCTTACTGGGGAAGAAGCAAAGAGAGGTAATAAACCACTTGCCATGTTTTTATCATTAAATAAAATGAAACGGCGATCAAACAAGAGTACCAGCAATCCCAAATTAATGCCATGCAAATGTAAAAAGAAATAAAACAAAAAAGAGTAAAAGAAAATGGCTCCCAGAGAATGATCCAAAGGCACAAAGACCCAGGAAAAAGTTCTCACTGATCGCAGGATGCAACTTTTATTTGTTACTGTTTATTTAAAATATTTTTACCCTGCCTTTCTCCTTAAAGGGGCCCAAGAAAGCTTACAACAATTAAAAGACAGTATTTAAAAGCGAAGAGCAGCAAGTACATAAATATTTTTAAGAGCAATTAAACAAATATTGCTATAAAAAGTGCTCCCTAAAATCAATACTTAAAACACATTAAAAAATAACAGAGCACAACAATCCTCTTGAAAAACTTTTGGCTTTCGAGAGAAATTTCACATTATATTTTTAGAGCCCCATCCACTTCCATTCCACGAATCCCATGTATCCAAGCTATTTTAAATGCCCATCATTATCTTTTTCAGGGGATCCGCTGACACTCTACACTCCCTTCTCTTGGTCTACCATCTTGCATAATGAAAATTGTCCTGCCAAATGATCATCCCTCATTACTTTCTGCATCCACCTCCACTTCCATAGGACTTTGGGAAGACCTTCGTTAGCTTACGTCTCTGGAAGGCCTGCCCTGATCAAGAGCATCATGACACTAATGAAAACAATTGTTTGGCACGGGACAAAATGGTGTATTTGGTTCTTGACTTTGGAGGGGGGAACATATAACCCCTCCTATTGATGCCGACTCTCTGCTACCAGTCAGGCTAAGCTGTTCTTATCACTGGGGAGGCAGCTGCACCTGGTGAGTTTCTGCCACTTTTAAAAAACCACGAAAGGGCACTGCCCAGAAGCAAAAGGATGACACGGTTTCAGTTGAACGGCTGCAGCTCCTCTCAGTCTGGTGCTGCAGGGAGGAGGGGAGACTGCGCTGTACCAATTGAATGGCACATTGCAACCCCCCCAAACCCCAACGTCTTCCGAGGGCTGATGTCCCATCCAGGACGACCGTTGGTGGCCTTTCCAGCAGAAAACCCAACCGAAGCTTTACTCTTGACCTGCCCTACCTGGCAGGGCTGTCGTGCAATGAAAGCAAAAAAGAGGGACCCAACGCTTCAGTTTCCACCGAGACGGCTGGAGCTGAGAGTATAATCCCGGGGAGATGCGTGGCTCTGGACTACATAACCCAGAATCCCCACTCCCCTTCTTAAAACACGGGATGATGGGCATTGTAGTAGCAAAAGAAGAATGCTTTGAATTGAAGGCAAAAGGGGGGGTTTAACGTGCCTAAGAAGGGAAATCAGCATGTTGGGGGGCAGACCTGACCCCCTAACCCCCGGGAAGAATGGGGTCCCCACCGTCCCAACCGACCCTCCGGCTTCACTCACCACGACCTTCTGCTAGGAAGGCTTCCCAAGTTAAGCGCATGCGCGGAGGGAGGGCCCCAGGGACGTGACACCGACCAATCAGAGCGCGGGATGGAGAGGCCCCTCCCCCGGCGCGAAGGTAGACGGGAAGGCTCTCGTCATCTTCCCCGGCCATGGCGGCCGCTCGTTGCTAGGCAACCCGCAGTGAGGCTCGCCATTCCTCTCGCGCGGCTAGGCCGCGACCTGACGCGCGCCCGGGGAGGCGGGGCCTAGGCGGGTCCTGCTTGGCGGGGCCGGAGGGGCGGCTTTTGGCCGGGGAAGGCGAAGGGACCGAGGAGAGGAAACGAAGGAGGGAAGGAGGAAGAGGCCTGAAAGGGGAAAAACAAAACAAAAAAACTCCCACCAGGGACTCTCAAGCCCCGCCCCCAAACGTAGGCCCTGCCCTCGTTCTTTTCTCCTCGTTCCTCGTTCTTTTTCGTTCCCGTTCCTTGTTCTTAGAACCGTTCCGGGGTTGAATTTCACACCGTCCTTATTTTGAGTTACTGAGGCCTTGGGCTCCTTCTCCCCTAACACCACAGTCAGGTACTCCAACCCACTGAGCAGTACCAGCTACACAGTAGCTGCGTTCTCAAAGGATTGTTTCTCCCCCACATGGATGCTGAAAAACACGGATTATAGTGAACACTTAATAGTGAACACAGTATACATAAATAGGTCCTCTGGCCCCCTCTAATGACCAGTTCTGGTAACTTCATCTTAAAATATATATATTTCTAGGATTTTTAATTTCAGACCGATAAATGAATCAGTAGATACTGATCCTGTGGATGGAGGGATCCTACCATACTCATACTGTACCTCTAGCAATGTAAAAATCCTCATTGTTTTTACAATGGGCTTTGCAATCCTTAGGGCTCTTTCCGTCTTTCCTATCAGAGTGGCTGAGTTGAGAGCAGCAGCCATGGAGAAACCAGTCAGCTTGATGAGGAAGGGCTTTAACGAACTTCAAGAGATGGTCAACCACATGCAGCAGAACCCTGCCTGGCATCCTCTGACTGGCAGCAAAATTAACCTCAGCAAAGCATCAAAAGCAGTCAGGCTGTATTACGAGAAGCAGGTAGGCACAAGTGTCACCTTCAGGATTTATTTATTTTTTTAAAAAAATATATTCATTTATTTCAGGGCTGGCTAAGACATGGACCATAGGGGGCTGGTGGCCCCTTCCACCCTGGAAGGTTTCAAGAGAAGGAAGTTCTACTAAAAAGCTAAATGTGCTGCTTATGTACCTCCCTTTCATGCTTAAAGTCCCTCATGAGTGGTGTACGATTTAATTATTCAGGCGACACATTGCCCATCCACCCCCAGTGGATTGGGGACTGAATTTATGGACTTTGGAAGGAGGGAGGGCTGAGTCCACCTTGAGCCGGCTACCTGAGTCCATTGGGATCAAACTCAGGTTGTGAGCAGAGTCCTGGCTGCAGTACTGCAGTTTAACCACTGTGCCACAAGGCTCCTTTCCAATTTTTTTTCTTTAAACAGTTCTTTACAGTGACAAAAGGGGAGGCCTCCATAAGGGAAGGGGTGGAAGACTGCACACTTTGCTGGCCAAAATGTTGACCTCCGCTCCCCAAGTATCTTCAGATAGGTTTTGGTAAAAACTCCTGCTGGAAACCCAAAGAGGTTTCTCACACATCCTCCCCTCTGGGTGTTTTTAATACCCTGTGGTAAGAAACTGGCATTAGTGCCCTGAAGGTTAGCCCAGCCCAAGTCTAAATGGCACAGATCTTGGTCAGCCAAGGGTCTGGCTCAACATGAGGAGAGATTCCTGCATTCACTGAAAGCATATTTTTTTCCCATTTACACTTGGAGGTCAAACTTCTGCCTTCTGCTCCGTACTCATAACTCTCTTCCCCAGGCTGAGGATGGTGTGGCAAATCCCACAGTGTCAGGATACACACCCGAGGTAGAACAACTGCAGAAATCCTTCCTGATGCGCCCTGGGTGCCCAAGGTTCAGCCATAGGGCGACCTCAACAGCTCACCTCGGTAAGGCTTGTCATCGGTGGGTAGCCATTGTGGGAAAGCCAGTAGAGGAGACCTGGGAACATCTCGCCCACCCTGATCTCTATGTGCTTGTTGTGTAGGACCTTATCCTTTGCCACCAGCTATGCTGGCTGGGGCTTCTGGGAGTTGCAGTCCAAGTATATCTGGGTCACCCAAGGTTGGGAATCACTGATGTAAGGTATCGGGGTGGAGACGTGTTCTGGAAAATCGAGCTCCCATCTTTGGTTTCCTCTGCCATGGATGTTTTCTTTTCATTTCGAGCCAGGCAGGGGCTTGGAATTAGAGGCTGCCGTCTCGTTTGCAGGCCCAGCATGCAAATGACATCCTTGATCCGTGGGCTTGAAGGCCCTGTTCCTGCCCACTGGGAAAATCCTTCTCGTCATGCTTTACTTCTCGGTCTCTGTTTCAAGGATGCGCTGCGAGGCTGTGTGATTTTTATTCCTTCTGCAGAAGGGAACTTTGCCAGAACGACCGGGCTGCCCAGTAACATCAGCACCATAAGTCTGTCTTCCCAAATTTCACTGGACGACTGGACCTCGATCCTTCAGAACGCGGACCTCCTGGAAGGCAAAACTTACGCCAGATGTAAGCCGTTTTGCCACGCTGGCAGTTTTTTCACCCCAACATCTTCTTATTCCGCTCCTTCTGCTGCCAGATTTCGAGCCCAAAGAGCAGAAATCTCAGTTCTTCTTCCAGCTTTTGCTTTGTTTAACTCATTTTTTTGTTTTGCCCTGCCAATGTTGGTTGGGCTGATACGCTTCTCCCTTGCTTGGTGGGATAAACTGTCATTTTTGGGTAGGTCATTTGCTGTCTCCAGATGATGAGAGTTCTCGTCCAGTATATTTAGAGGGCATCAGAACAGGGAGGTTGCCGAGTGTTCAGTGGAAGACTTCCTCTCGTTGCCTTCTGTTTCTGATTCTTTTCACTAAAAGGTGTCGGGGACATCCTGCATGAAAAAACACAGCTCCCCGCCCCCCCGCACTGAGCACGATCCAACATTAGGCATTTCATAAACATTCAGCCCTTTCCACAGAAGTAACCATTTTAGTCTGGCTCAGTTTGTTGGTAAAATAAATTGAGGAGCAGGAAGAGAAGAACAAAATATTGTGATATCTAAATGAACGCCCGTTTGTGCTTGACATTGATTATCGCTTAATGAGCCATTATGGCCAGAGTTGTCTTCTTCTGCCTCCAACGGCCCCGGTAATGACTCTGAAAACTTAACAAGTGTTTTTTTCCTCTCCCTAAACCAATTCACATGTGCAGATTGTCCGGTGGCATCCACTCAGAGCCTCTGTGGATTATACAGGAGGAAAAGTCGCACTGACAGTGGCTTTCCAGCCCTTCACAGGCAAAGCCACTCCGGGAGCAGAATCCCTTGGTACATCGCCGTCCTTCAGGAGAAGGTAAAAGTTTTAAAGGCCGTACATATAAGCAACGAGAGGAGATAAATGAACGGGAAGGCCCAGCAGGCCTGAAGGGAAGCGCGAGGCTCTTAAGTCAGCCACCAGTGCCTTTGGGTGGATTGCTCACTTGAGTATTCCTGGTATCTTATAGATTATGGGTGGGAGCTGTGTTATTTGCAGGCCACAGGCAACCCAGAAAGTCCATTTTGGTGCTTAGTTACTCTCTGGGCCCATAACCTGTTGAGAGTTCTTTTGGAACTCGTTTAAGTTCCAGTAAAATGCACAGCAGAAGGCCAGCTCGAAAAGAACTCTCAACATTTGGGTGGCTTCCAAAGAGCATATCCCTCACTGGAAGGGGGGAAAAATCACCGGGATGGAGAATCAAACCTCCAGAAGGATGCCACTAGAACCTCGGCAGTTGTTCCCCTTTGTTACGTACTCAGGAGGCTGAGTGGTTTCCTTGGAAGGCTACTACCCAGTGAAGAAACGTAAATGAACGGGAGGCATTTCAAATGGTTTATCTGTCAGTTCTGTTTGCATCAACTTTTCTAACTCTCGGAAAAGAATGTTTTGGAAGCTTGACTGCTTTGTGGATTCCAAACTGCAAATTAACAAGCAAGGAGCTAGGTCTTCCAGGCTGACTGCTTCTGGGATTGAAGCTGATGCTTGGAGTAAGTGGCAAAGGCTGTTTTAGGTCAAAGACACTTATTTGGAGAAATCATCTAGAAACACAAGTAGAGAGAGAGCAAAGAAAGTTCAAGTCTGAGGGTTAAAGTGGATGAAATGTTTAACATGTATTTAGAAGTGGTGCTCCATGGACTGCTGAAAGAGGTCTGTTTGTCATTGCACATGCATCTCCTCACACATACATCTTACGTTCTCATGGGCTTTGTTTTGTGATGGGTCGTTGGAACATAGCAGTTCATTGCATCCGCTGTGGTTTGTGGTAACCCTCCCAGGGATTTCCAGTTATCAAGTTCTCAGGTACCATTTACTGGTCTGTGCATAACCCTCCAGGATGCTGAGCTTGCCCAAGGCTGCACAGGTGGCACAACATGTCATCCCATCAGCCACACATGGGATCTCGGCTAGCCCCTCTCCTGGGAATTTGGACTCCCCGTCCCAGACTCCACTGCCTGTCACTTCAACTCGCTAAGCTCCATCCACTTTTGGAAGGCAGAATTATTTCTGGCGAATCGCCTTGTGATAGGCTCCTTTGCGGGAAAACTCCTTGTTCTTAATGTCTAGTTTGACCCTGAAAGAGGGAGGCATTAAAACTCACCCCAAGAACAGCAGCAGGAAGAGTTAAGACAGAGAGAGGGGATATGTCTGGTGAGGCTATAGCTACCCCTCTCCATCATGATTGTCATCGGGAGGCACCTAGTCATGATCTCACTCTGTTTTGAACATCTTAAGAGTCTTGCAGCTTTGGTCTCCTTCTCTTCTCCAGGATTGGTCCCTGCAGCAACTGGAGGAAGAACTTGCCCACCTCAGTCGCTGTGAAGCGGAATCTGCCCGGAAGGATGAGGTGATCTCTGTCCTTCGGGAAGAGGTGGAGGCGATGCAAAAACAACTCGACCAGTTCCAGCGAAGCAGTTTTGTCATCCCAGTACAGACCCAAGAGGAGGAGGTTGGTCCCAATTTTTTTTCCAGTTAGGGTGCTCCAAAGTCTGTCTGCCAGATCTGCTTTGATTGGACTCCTGCCTTGAGCAGGAGGTTGGACTGGATGGCCTTAGAGGCTCCTCCCTACTTTGTTATTCTGTGATTCTCTGAATCCTAAGCAGACCAGAAAAACTTCCTAACTTGTTAGAGCAGTACGACAATGGAATCCATGCCCTTGGGAGGGGGTGAGCACTCCAACGCTGGAGGCCTCCAAGAGAAAATCAGACCACCCTCTGCCAGATCTGCTCTGATTTGGAGTCCTGCCTTGAACCAGGGGGTTGGACTCGATGGGCCTTAGAGGCCCCTTTGAACTCCATCATTCTACGGTTCTAAGTCCTAACTGTGTTTATCAAGAGTTACAAAAAAACAGAACTCTCCATTCCTGGCTTACTTGTCCTAATCCTCTCTCCATTCCCTTTTTAGAAGAGTCAGGTGGAACTAGCCACAGGAGAAGCTAGCACCAGCAGGCCACGGAGCCGGGTCGTCTCCTTGCCGGCTACTTTGGACCGGAGGAGCATCCCAGAAGAGTTCCAGAAGGAACTAGGACGCTTGAAGTTGGAGCTGGCCCAGAAGGATAAGACCCTGGACTCTGAGGTGGGGTTGCTGAATGAAGCGCTCTTGAAGGACCAGGAGGCCCTGGAGCAGCTGGAAAAGGAAGTAAGTGAAGAATGACAGGAGCAAATGGATACCTTTTGCCTCTCTATGATGATCATGAAATAATCAGGATGGG